TCATTTGGTATTTGAGCCCCAGAGCCAGATTCCTGGGCCCAAGTGCAGAATCAGCACATCCGTATCCACGGGTTCCTGGGCCCGAGTGCAGAACTGGTACCTCCGAATCCACGGGTAGAGTGTGGGAATCTACTTTTCTGACTTGGGCCCTGCTGAGCTCTACATTGCTTTGCAGTGTTATTATGCTTCAAGTTTGTGAATCACACATTTTTACTTTCATTACTTTTCTTTTCCATTAGAAATATTTTTTATATTCTTATTTTAAAAGAGCATTTGTGGGGGAGAGAGAATAAAGAACATTCTGACCCGATTCTAGAAGCACTGGTTTATTGGTAGCATGTGGGCTGTAGTGGGCCATGACTCAGTTTGGGAGGTCTTGGTTTGCTCAGATTAGACGCCCCAGATGCTGGTCACTTTTTTTCTTAATTTTATTTTTGATAATATTTACATAGTTGATTGTGGCGGGAAGGATCCAGAGATAGGAAACAGTGGATGTGATCATTGTTTCCAAATTTTCTATTTCTTCTTCCTGTTTCTGGAGGAAGGAAGGAGATAAGGCGATGAGCCATACCCAGCCTCCCAACTGCCCCAGTACCCAGGGATGGGGAATGGCCACCCAATAGCAGCCCAGGATCCCACTGTGGCACACATTCCAAGAGTTCTGCCCAGGTGGATGTGATATTTCTGAACTGCTCTCCATTTCACCAGACCAAAGATGAGGGAACTTTTTCAATGCCCATTGACTGACAGTCAACCTTACAGTTTCCATTCAACCAGATGTTTGCTGTCATCACTTGGCTGGGGTAGTTGTCCTATTTTTTTCTGTTCTCTACCCTCTGTTATAATAGCAGATGTCCTCTGCATGCCTCAGTGGGCTGCCACATCCTCCATGTGCACAAGGGCCTGCCATCCCCTGCTCTGTCTTTTCCACTGAGGAGGACCACTTCTCACAGGCAAACCCAAGGGCCCAGGCCAGGCAACCCAGGCCCCATCAGATCCCCTGCCCCTGGGGCTCATGGACCTGGCACCCACCACACCCAGACTGGCATGGCTCACCTTACCTCAGTATCCACCAGCAGGTACTCCAGCCTGACTCAACCCAGCCTGCTCTCAGTTCCAGTTCTTCCTGGTGGGTGATGCAGCCTAGCTCAACCCATCCAGTACAGCCCGTACCCAGTCCCAGCCCTAATGTGGACTGGCTGGAGTTGCACTCCTACCTGGCCCCTTCTGCACCCTGTCTTGGTCCTCAGATCTGCCAGTGGGTGTTATCAACTGGCCAGCCCAGACTAGCTCCAGACCTGACTCACATGTATGCTGGTGGGTACAATAACCTGGCCTGATGTGGGCTTCCCCTTGTCTTAGTTCTTGCACTCACCTGCAGAAACTGCTCTATCAGGTCTCCTTCCAGTGGCAGATCTCACACACACTGGCAGGTCCTTGGCCTGGGTTAACTTAGTCCACCTCTTGTCCTGCCAGGTACAGTGTCATTGCCCAGACGGCCTACACCCATTCCAGTTGTTACTCTTGGGAGTTACAGCTCAGCCATACCTTGTCCATGCTCTTATGTGGTTCCATGCTGGTCATTTCTACAATAACTGTCAGTAGTAGGTTACATGGAAGTCTTCTTCATTCTCTCCTTTTAAGTCATGGGTAGTGGAGAAAATAATGTCAAGACAAAGCAAGAACCCAGTGCAATGGCCAAATGCTAAATCCTTGCTTTGCACACTCCGAGATCCGATCCCATATGGCTGATGGTTCAAGTCCCGACTGCTCCACTTCCCATCCAGCTCCCTGCTTGTGGCCTGGGAAAGCAACAGAGGGTGGTCCAAAACCTTGGGACCCTGCAACTGCATGGGAGATGTGGAAGAAGCTCCTGATTTCATATTGGCTTATTGCCTGCATATTCATTTAGTCTCTGATTTAGATACAACTGGAAATTTCCCTTTAACATTAATAACAATTTATTTTGCCTAGTCTAGATGTATCCTTTCACTTGAAAGATAATGAGCTTAATATATAGCAAATTCTTAATGATTCACTCTGTGGGCTTACTAAGGTGAATTCTTTATCCCAAGGTCATTGTCTTCAGGGTCCAGAATTCTGTCACATTGCTACTTCCCAGATAGTGTAAGCTGAAAGACATACCTGCCACCTAAGTATGGATTCCAGACCTCTTATAATTTCAGTTCAAATATGTGGTTTTCACTTAAGGGCTGTTGATTATAATCATTGTTTACGTGTGTTGAATGGAAGTTCTGATTTTTTCACACGTTGTTCTGTTTTTATTGTTCTCCCTGTTTTAGGGAGATAACAAGTTATGATGGCTAGAGGGCAGCTCCTAAGTCAGGGAGTTACGTAAGTTACACAAAAGAGTTTTGTTTTCCTGAAAGCATTTTTGCAAACCTCAGCCAGCATGAAAGAGGCAGCCATAGAAAAGAGCCAAAGCTAGTTTCAAACACTGCAGTGTTTGGCACTGTGGTGAAGATACCCACGTCCTATACCTAACTTCAGGCCTCATCTCCACCTCTGATTCCAGTTCCCTGCTAACGTGCACCCTGGGAGGCAGCAGGTGACAGCTCAATTGGTTCAGTCTGTGACACCCATATTGGGGCCTAGCTTCAGTGGAGTCTAGCCTTGGCTGTTTGCTGACATTTGATGAATGAATTGGCAGATGCTCTTCCCTTTTCTGTCTCAAAGGAAGATCTTCCCTGTATTATCAACTAGGAAGACAGCTGCTCAGCCAAAACTTTCCATTTTGGCTCCAGCTCTATTTCTGAACGACCTGACAGCTACCAAAGTTCCAGACTCGAAACACTTCAACATTCTCTTCTTCATTTTCCCACCCTCACTCCCAGATTCAGATTCAGGCGAGTGAGCAGGCTTGCAGGCTTAACCTCCTGGCAGCAGGGCTTTCTCGCCACAGTCCCAGGATCAAGGTTTCCCAGGTAACCCTGTGGCTTCCAGCACGATTTTACCATGTCTTCTCTTTGATCTTCTCCCAATGTATATTATCAGCCCTATGCCAAATTCTGATTTTTGGGGGGCACACTGTGAACAGTAGATTTGTGTGCTTGTGGAAATGTTCAAGTGTTAAAAAAAAATTCTTGTCAGTCGAGACTGAACACCTTCAGGGATAAGCTGATCTGTAATGGCCAGAGCGGCCATGTGCATCCACATTCAGATCTGAACACCACTGAATGCAAAAGGAAGGGCTAGCTGGGCGGGACTCTCAGGTTACAGATGGCAAGCAGAATAACCCTGCAGAAGAGAGGCAGACAAGAGTGTTCTGGAATCATGTCCTCCGAGTGTCCTTTGAGGAAGAGAAGGCAGAGAAGAGTGGATGAAAAAAACTGAGAAGAGGAAGAAGGAGACAGGAGGAAACGTGAAGGAAATGAGAGAAGGATGTACTCATTTCAACCTGATGTCTGATGAAGTCCTAGTCTCTAAAATTCACCTGCTGGGCCCTCTCCAAGAGTGAATGAAAGAATCTAAGGTAAGATCCCCTGCTAAGTCCTTCTGCCACAATGTTGCATTTATTCCCAGCATCCCTTATGGTTTGTGGCTACTTTCAACAAACAGGCTGTGGAAACAGAGTACTACGCTTGCGGCTGCATGTATACACAGCTTTCTGTCCTGTTAACTCTCTTGGGTTGAGTCAGACTCTTGCCTCTGGTACAAAGCAAATGACACAAAGGAAGCTAATTCCTATCTTTCTTCATTTTTAAAGACATGTCCTTGTGGGAACAGAAAAACCTGCAGCATTTGTAATGGATGTAGGAGAAGTGAAGAGTAACAGCCAAGAAGCTTGACCAATCAATGTTTCAACCCAGGCCAAAGTGTTCACATTCCTTCTACCAATCAGAAAAGCAGAGGAGGCTAGGCGGGAGGAGAGAACTGAGACAGTGATGAGTCCTGCTCACAGATCCCTTGCCAGGGTGTTGCAGGGAAGAGGGGCTGAGTATGGAGAAAGTATTCTGCATCAGACCCTCTCGATGTGTTTGAGAATTACAGCAGAGGAAGCCTGTGTTGCCTTTCCCCAGTAGAACCTAGTGAGAAGGCAAGAGCCATGAGTAAGGGTGCCGTTAGGCTGCTTTGTCTTGGCAAATGGGCTTGCAAATGCCCCTCAATAGACCTGTGGATAAGGGGTTTGGAAGTGTTGGGGCCATGTGTTGCGTCTTATATTCCAAAGATGTTCCAAGGAAGTGACAAATGGCTGTGGGTGGCCTAACCAAGTTTTCTATGTTTGTAGAATAGCCTGGAAGCATCAAACTGATCTGGTCCAGTGTGCACAGGGAGGTGGTTGGCGTTAGCTGACCCAGGGTAAGACCAAAGTTCTGTGATGACGCCTGATCGGGATGAGTTGGCAGTGACCAGCAGGTGTCCATAGCCGTCTCAGTAACTGCCAGTGAAGAGTGATGCCAGCTCAGGCAAGGCACCCTTCAGATATGCTGAAATAACTGAAATTAGGTTGCTACTGCCTAGAAAAGAGCTAGCCATTATACAAGGCAGTCTTCAAAAAGTGTATAGAAAATACATGTTATTAAAAAGCATGCATGGGTTATCAAAACTTTTTTGATTTTTAAAATTATTTTTATTTTACAATACAATTCCATAGGCTCTGGGATTTCTCTTACCTCATGCAAAAACTCCCACCCCCAACTGATTTCTCCTATATTATTTCTAGAGTATAGTCCTTCATAAACAGTCATAAGTCCATCTTTGTGGACATGGACAATGGCAAAGAGTCCAGCATCCTATTGTTAAGATATATTTAACAATTTCACTGGGAGTCCATCTTTGATCTGGAAATACAGATGTGTACAGTATTGTATCCTCACATCTGGATATGATAGTCTCTATTACACAGTTACTATACATCCCCTTAAATGAAAAACCGCAATACAAAATCAACAACAGGTAGAAAAATGGAAATTTGCAATGCCATAAAGTTAAATAATACACTGCCAAATGATTAATGTGCCACTGAATAACTGAAAAAGAAAATAAAGAAGCTTCTTGAAGAAAATGCTGCTACTGTATGACTTACGAGTCAGTGAAGACTTTACTGTGAGAAAAAAGCTGCTTTGGAGAAATGAAAATAGAAACAAAAATATCAAAATCCATGAGGTATAGTTTCCACATATCTTTGTTGGTGAGATGCGTCTCTGGTAGGTAACAGATTTTTTTTTTTTAAATTCAGGCTACTAATCTATGACGTTTGATTGGTGAATGTAAGCCCTTTACATTCAGGGTTAATATGACTAGGTGGTAATTTGATCCTGTCTTTTTAAAAATGAGTTGCTGAATGTTTGATTTAGTCTGTTGTTTTATTGAGACGCTCTTCACATTTGCCTTTGATTTTTGATGGGTGCTGTTCCTTTTCTCTCAACAGAACATCATTTGTAGGGCAGGTTTGGAAGAAGCATATTCTTTTAACTTTTCCTTGCTGTGGAAGAATTGTATTTCATTCCAAAGACTGCTGGGTACTTTACTCTATACTGACAATTTTGTTTGTTTGTTTTAGAATCTGGAATATGTCACTCCTTTCTCTTCTGGCCTGTAGAGTTTCCTGTGAGAGGTCTCCTGTGAGTTTAACTGGCATTCCTTTCTATGTCAGTTGACTTTTTTTCACATGCACATTTAAGGATCTTTTCCTTATGTTTGATGGAAGAGAGCCTGATGATCATGTGTCAAGGCAAAGATCACTTTTGGTCAAGCCTGTTGGAAGTTCTGTGCCTCTCCTGAACGTTTCCCAGTCCTTTCTCCAAGTAAGGGAAGTTTTTCTTTGTTATTTTATCAAATATATTTTTAAACCCAGCTTCTCTTTCTGTGCCTTCTGGAACTCCCGTAACGCTTGCATTTGGCCTTTTCATAGTATCCCTTAGTCCTTGAATACTTTTCTTAGTTTGACTCAGTTTCTCTTCCAGGTTTTTAATTTTTTATGCATTGTTGAGGGAAATACTTTCCAATTCTGAGATTCTTTCTTCTGCCTTGCTCATTCTATTACTAGGAGTGTCCATTGAATGTTTAATTTTCTTCATTGTGTCCTTCATTCCTAATAAAGCAGCTTGATTTTGTTTCAGTGTTGCTATTTCCTGCGTGACGTATTCTTGAATTTCCTGCATGTTCTCCTCATTGTTGATAAGAAGCTTTATAACAAGCTTTTCAAGTGCCTTATCCCCCATTTCCTCGATGTCTTTCTCAGTTAATTCTGACATTGGCAAAGGCTTTTACTCCTTTGCAGCGGAGTCTTCAGGAATATTCATTGTGCCTCTGTCTCATTTTTGCTCTTGGTCATTGTACTTCTGGTTAGCAGATTCTTCTCTTTTGGGCTGGTTTCTAAGTTGTGTTGACCGCTGGTCTACAGGTCGGTTTTACTAATTACATTTGGTATCCAGTTCTTCTTTTGTAGTCATTTGTGCCATTCCCTTCAGCGAGTTTCAGTCCCAGCCTCTTGTGTTAGGTCTCTGAAGCCCCAGCTCCTGGCTCACCACTTCTGCTCCCTATGAACCTGTGCTGTGACTGCACTATTGTTTGCATAGCCTTTCTCCTACTCTCAGTTTGAGCAGTGCCCGGGATTTGGGAAATACCTGTTGTCTTAAATTGCGGCATTATCAGTAGTGCTGATCTTGCTGGAACCTGCTGGCCTTCAGGTCTGAAGGTCACCTGGGCCTATTTTGGGTGGAACTCATAGGATACCAAGTCAGCGCAATGCTTTGAGCTGGACATGGGTTCTCTCCCACCTTAGTGCAGTGGAGTTCACTATCATTCCACGCCCCCTCACCTCACCATCACAGCCCTTTCTTAGTACACAAAATGGCACTTGATGTGCCACTGGTGGGGGTCTGGGGCTGCTAATCATTAGGTCAGGGACCACCTGGACCTATCAAAGGTGGAACCTGTAGGAGGCCAAGCTGTTACTGTGGGACAAGGGCAATGTGATGTGCTAGAAATGAGCTCGCTCCTGGCTTAGCACATGCGCGGCTTGCTGTTGTCCCCCCAGCCCCACAGCCTTTTCCTCAGTACACAAAATGGTGCCTGATGTCCTCTGGTGGAGTCTGAGCCATGAAATTCACCCTGTTCCTGCACCTGCCTGCTTGGGCTCTGCCATTGTGTTTCTGCTTGTGGTCGAATCAAGCAAATCAGCAGAGGGGGCAGTTTTCTGCCTGGGTTCACCTCCTGAGCTCCCAGCGAGCTCCCTTTCCATCTGACCCCTAGTGGAACGCTGATCACCCATTGTCGATCTGGTCATTGCAACACTGCACTGCTGTCTCTGCTGTTTCCCCAAGTCCACAGGTCCTCGGATACCCCTCTGCCAGGACAAAGTCCTTAACATCTCTCAGCTTCATTTTCCTCAATGGTTAGTTTCACAGAATTATGGGAAGGATTCAATGAGTAAACACACCAGTTCTGGAGACCCAGCTCTAGTACTGATCATTAGTGACAGGCCCTGATGCTGTGCCAGGAATTTGCAAAGCTGAGCTCCTTGCATTCTCACAACCACAGCTCACCATCAGTCAGTACACTGAGGCTTGCACTCAACAGTTTTCATAGCCAAGGTCTGATGCCTCTGGCCCTGACTGTACTTTTGATTGGTTGGTGCCCAGAGTGATCATGGTTTTTGTCACCACTTCTCTCAGAGTTTGTAATCAGTGGTGTGTGAATGAGCAGGTGGGGGCTCAAGTTAAATAACTTATCTGAGCTCATGTGACTTACAGGTAGACGCTCCTTAACTGTTTATGTCATCACCTCCAGAAAAGTATAGGAAATAAAAGCAAGTTCTATTAACATTTAATGTTCTTTTCTTCTATATCTAAATTTGCCTGCCATTCAAGAAGTCAATAATTTTGTGAGGCTCTGCAGTTATAATAAAAATGACCAGAAACCATTGAGGATGGGGAGAAAAACAGAACCCTTGTACAGTATTGATGGGAAAGTAGATTGGCACAGCCATGGTGAAAAACAGTATTAGGGTCTCTCAAACACTTAAATATTGATCTGCCAGCTATCCTGTTACTGGATATACTTCCAAAGGAGATTAAATCAGCATATCAAACAACTCTCTGTCTCCCAAGTTTATTGAAGCTCTGCTCACAATAACCAATAGAATGAAATCTCTGTGTCCATTGGCAGATGAATGGGTAAAGAAAAAAGTAGGATTCATTTCCTAAATGTTCACAATACCCTGGCCTTGGTCCGGGCCAAAGCCAGAAGCCAGAAACTCAGTCCAGGTCAGCCGTGTGGGTGGCAGTGTCCCAAACACTTGAGAGTCCCAACTGTTTTTAACTTATTATTGGGTCTTCAGAGCTGTTCGAATATTTGGGATAAGAGTCCTTTATATGTGTCATCTTCCTACATTTTCTTCCAGCTTCTAGCTTGACTTCTCATTCTCCTGGCACTGTTGTTAACCAAACAGATGTTTTTCATTTTAATAAAGTGAACTTTATTCTTTCATGGATCACACCTGTGGATGTTCAGGGTTAACAGTATCATTTGTTGAAAAGACTGATTTTCTCCATTGTATCCTTTGCCCCTTGGTCAACGATAAGTACAGCAAATACATGTGGGTCTAGTTCTGGGCTCTCTTCTGTGCACTGATCTCTCTTCACTCACCCACATCACATTATCTCGGTGACTGCAGATATGTATTTGAGATTTTTTTTCCAATTTGAAAGGCAGCATCACAGAGATAGAGAAGGAGAAACAGAGAGATTTTTCCATCAGGTGGTTCACTCCCCAGATGACTAAGTTGGCCAGAGGTAGGACTAAAGCCAGAAGCTTCTTCCAGGTCTTACATAGGTACAGGGGTCCAATCTCTTGGGTCATCCTTTGCTGCTTTCCCAGGCCATAAGCAGGGAGTTGGATTGGAAGTGGAACAGCCAGGACACAAATCAGTGTTCATATGCAATGCCAGCACAGTAGGCAATGGCTTTGCCTTCTATACCATAGCTCCAATGCCAGAATAAAATAGACTTTTAAGTTAACATGTAATTGTATGTATTTATGGGCTACAGTGTGACCATTCAATATTTACAAAGAAAGCATACTGATCAAATCAGGGAAACTGGCATCCATAATTATAATTTCTGGATATTAAGAGCATTCAAAATCCTCTCAACAAGATATTTTGAAAGGCAAGTAATTGTTAACCATGGTTGTCCTGCTGTGTCATGCCACATTAGCAATCACTGCTGGGAACTGCATCCCCGTATGTTAACCACCTTCTCTCCAGCCCATCTTCCCCCACACCTCTCCCAGACATTGGTAACAGTACTTCTATTGACCACTCCTATGAGATCAGATTTTTATCTTCCATATTTGAGTGGTAGCATGTCCTTTCTGTGCCTGATTCATTTCATTCAACATAATATCCATCTCATGGCCAGATGATATTGCATTGCATACGAATGCCATGTTTTCTTTATCCACTCACCCATGAACGGACACCCTGGTCGAGCCCATAATTTGGTTGCTGTGAACAGTGCAGCAGTACACTTGTCTCCTCGGCAGATTGATTTCTTTTTTCTTTTGGAGAGATACCCAGTACTGGGATTGTCAGATCATACAGCAGTCCTCTTTTACGGAGGAACACCTTGTTTTCAATAATGGTTGCACAAATGTGCATTCCCACCAAAAGTGTGTGAAGCTCCTCTTTTTCTGCATCCTGGTTAACATTTAGAATTTGTCTTTTGGATGAAACCCCTTTCAACTGGGGTGAGATGATAACTCAGTGTGGTTTTCATTTGCATTCCTCTGATGATTCGTGATATTGAGTGACTTTTCATATACTTGTTGGCTTGAGTGTCTTCTTTTCTAAATATGCCTGTTTGGATAATGTACTCGGTTTTAATTGGATTTTGTTGTTTGCTTTCAAGTTGAGCTCCTTACATATTCTGGATATTAATCCCTTGTCAGATGAGTTGTTCGCAAATATTCTCCCTCATTCTGTAGATGTCTCTTCACTCTGATGGCTATGTGGAAGCTTTTTGGTTTCATGTAATCTCATTTGTCAATGTTTCCTTTCATTGGCTGCACTTTTGAGGTCGAATTTAAAATGTCTTTGCCCAA